AGACAGCAATATATTAAATTCTCTTACCACTACTGTGGTACTATTTTTTTTTTCTTCAGTTCTTTTAAACATCATTTTATGGATTGTTCAGGCCTATCATTTTGTGCATAGATATTGACCAACATTATATCTTCTTGTTCTTTTGTGCCTTTCATCATTATATAGTGCCCTTCTTTATTTTTCTTCTTTTAGCATTTCTACCCCCTCCTTTTAAAAAAATTTATCATGGATTTCAATGAAAATTTATAGAGACTTTGGATTTCCATTCATTCACTGTTGCACTTTTCTCCCCTCCCAACTCTCCCCCCAGTACACTACCCTCTTGGAAAAGTAAAAGAAAAATTCTTTCATTGTTTTACAATCCCTCCCCCCAGGTCCACTCCACTATGCAGCCTTTGCTCTGGACTCTGTCATGACAAAAATTCCTAATCACATATTCCTTTTAAACAGTTTTCTCCCTCATCTGTTTCAATGCAGTATACATTATTGAACGCATATTTCTCAGTCTCCCCCCAACCCCGATGTTGTTCCTGTTTTACAACAGTGGCACCATGTAGTATTTGTCCTTTTGTGGCTGAGATACTTCTATATCTTCTTTATCTTTTATGATGGTTTTCATCCTGAAGTCTATTTTCACAGAGATTTGTTTTGCCACTCCTGTTTTTTTGGGGATGTCATTTGCTTGTTAAAATTTTTTTTGTCTATATGTACATATATTTTTTATTATGTGTGTGTTAAAATTGTGAGTTTTACTTTGTAACCACTCTTGAAGACTTGAACTACAGTTCCTCCCCTACCATTCCTAGTCTCAGGCATATCCTGATCATAGGGTACATATTTTCCTCTTTTCCCTGTCCTACAATGCATATGATGCTCTGAACTCTGGCCTACTGGGAGAACACCAGGGCAATGAATCCTGGGTCCACTAGAACTCAATCAGAAGATAGTGGGCAGGACATATCTTGGGGTGGTGTGGGAGATCCCTGACTCTTTCTCTAATAGTAGAGACTCTTAGACTATGCTGTATCTGTTCTCTGATCATCCCCAAGGGAACTATTTTTTGGTAGACAGTTATGGTCACCACACTGGTCTGATACCTGTTAGGAGTTTCTGACTCTGCCCACCTCTATCCTAATACCTCTATCCTGTTGTTTGTTTGTTCCACACTTGAGTCTCATGGGACATCTGTCCCCTCATGTATCTGCCCTCTGTCCAAGCTTATACCGCTCTTCAAGGACTTGTACCACTTATATTTGTACAGCCTTCCTTCTCCTCACCTGGATGGTTCTTGGTCAGAACTTAAGAAGTTACCTTCGAGTCAGCGGTCAGGCATCTGGCTTGTGATTTGGATTTTTGCCTGATCTTTTGTGAACTATCTAGTCAGAACGTTTCCTAACTTTCTACTCTTACCACTCATTTACCTACCTGTAAGGGGCCCCCAAGACCATCTGAAGCTTAAGGATGAACTAGGACTCAGCACTCGACCATCCCCATGCTGTAGTTACCATAGTCAAAGGACAAATCAAAAGCAGCAAAGGGAAAGAAGTGTGGGACAAAGGCTGAGGAAACCCAGGACCAGCTTTCAAGGGAGCTCCCCTAGTTGACTCTCAAAGAACCTAGCATTCCCCAGCAACAAATTCTAGCAATATATGTGAAATGATGTCCACCAGGGAAGCTTGTTAAAAACCCATTAACACGTTGTCACACACTTTTAATTGATGATCATGCTTAGAAACACTTTTTTTTTCAATGTATTGCCATCATTTGTGGCAACGTGTTAAAAAAAAATAACAAACGAATGGATAGAGAAGCTGTGGTATATTCACACAATGGAACATTATGCAGCACTGAAAAACAACTCATGAACTATTATACAGAATGGGTGACCATGGAAGGCATTATTCTGATTGAAAGATCTCAGTCACAAAAAGACAAATACAGCATAATACCACTGTTATAAAACAGGAGTGTCATGGGGGTCGGGGAAAACTAAGGAAAGAGGGCATAAATAATGTACATGGCTTTGAGACGAGGGAGAGAACTGTACAAAACGAATATATGATTAGGTATTATTGGCATGACAAGAGTCCATAATTGAGCTGCATAGTAAAGTGGTCTGGAGCAGGGCGGGGTGGGGGGGGAGTGCTGTGTAACAATGAAAGAACTTTGTTCCCAAAGAAAAAAGTGAACTGGGGAGGAGGAAAAAGGAAGAAAATGTGCAACAGTGAATGAATGGAAATCCAAGTTCTTTATAAACTTTCATTAAAATATCAATTTAAAAAATTCTTATTTAGGCCTAGAGAGCTCTGGTAGACTACTGGGAAAGGGGTTGTACTACCAACCCAAATCCATTAGCTGTTCCATGAGAGAAAAGTGAGCAGTCTTCCCCCATGTATAATTTAATACCTCTGAAACCTGACTGGAGGGTCAGCTCTGGGTAGGTTCTGACTCAACAATATGTTGTTGTGTACTGTAGAGTCAGAACTGACCCAGAGCTGACCCTCTGGCAGGTATTCAGAGCCAGTTAATCATACGAAAGGATATTGCTCATCCTTCTCCCACAGAGCAGCTGGTGGTCTCAAACCACATACCTTCAGGATTACAGCACACCTCTTGCTACTTGGGCCACCAGAGCTCCCTACAACAGTATATAACAGTCATATAAACAGCCTCTGTTTAGCATACAACCCAATTCTAGATTCCCAGAAGGAATTCGGGGGTTGGCTTTTTCTGCACAGCCCATATTGTCCACAGTCTGCACTCCTGAAAGCAGGCTGTCTAGTTAAGTGATGCAGGCTTGAGGCTGCCTCCTCCCCTCAGAACACCAACCCTGGAACATATAGCATGACCTGCCACCTCAGGCTTGGGAGTTCTGGGCTGCAGCTAGAGACATGACTCTATCACTACTGACTGTGACCTTAAACAAGTTCCTGAGCGTTTCTGACCTGAACATTTCTGAATCCCATTTACTTTTTAAAAAGGGAGTAAGAGCAGTTACTGTCTGTTTTTGGAGTTTCTGTCACAGATTCAGTAATAAGGTTCCTCATGCTTTCTGTCTGTCTGCTGGTGGCAGCCAAGATTGAGTAGAGGAATACAGAAATTACTGAACATGTAAACCATTCGTTCTACAAAAGGATGAGAAATGTTTCAAAAACAAAACCAAACAAAAATAAAATGGGGGTAAGGATCAACCCCTGCCAACTCCTATGAAGGGCAGGCCCTCAGGGACCCAGAGTTCTGCCCTTCTGTGGCTTTGGTTTCTGAGCATGGCTAGAGGACCTGACAGATGATCATGTTGAAGGAACAGGCCTTGAGTCTTTGTTTTCTTTTCTTTCTTCCTTTCTTTTTTTTTTAAGTGAAGTTGAGCTTTCCACTGCACTGGGAGGACCAAATAGTTCACATAACAAGACACAGACACCCCTGGTAAAGGTGCCTGGTGTCCTCTACCCACATGCCAGGTGAGGTGGTGGACAGCCACCAGGGCAGGCACAGGGTCGTCATTTGATAGTTGTGTCTGTTGACCCTTGCATACTCCACCTTGGTTCTCAATGCTGTCTCTGCCACAAGTCTGGGGCCATCTTTCCATTCCCTCTGAGGCCATGATCCTTGAGAACCCAGGCCTCTGCTTCCTCCTGCTTTGCTCTGCTGCTGCCTCTGCTGTTGCACTCTGTACCTGCCCAAATCCAGCCTCAGGCATGGTGCTGCAGGTCCTGCTGTAGACCCCAGGAATGTGCCAGCCACAGGATAGAAAACCTCAGTGTTTTTAGCAATTGTCAACAGATTTTCTGACAACACATTGCTAAGTATTTGAATTTGTGATGGAAAATGATGTTCCCAGATTTCCGGTGGGCAGACATTGAGAGAATCAGATACCCCCCGACCCAGGGCCTCATGGTACCTACAAGCATGCCCTTGGGGTTCACGGCCTCCACATAGCCCCTGTCCTGCCCTGGACAGGACTTCCCACATCTGAGTGATTCTCTGCAGAACCAAGAGTCTGTCAGGGGATGAGAATCAGCTGGCACTGGTCTATTTTGTAGCAAAGTTGGTGCTCTCTGTGTCTGTGAGGAAGGTGGCTCTGCCATTAGCATAAGATGAGAGATACAGCGAGGCACATTTCAGGTGTCTGTGATTCAGCCATATCTGACAAAGATCAGACATTATCAGTGGATGCTGAAAACTGATCCTCACCATGTTCTGTTCTGTGTCCCTCACTCTTATAAACCAGTCTCGGAGCCTGGGCTGTACTTACTACAAAACTGGATTCAGTGATAGAAGAAGGTGCTTTGGAAATTGCAGGAGCACCCTGTTTCCTTTTGTGGAAGAAGAAGAAAGGCATAAAAGACCAAGTGATTGAGGCCTTTATATGCAGCCTTGCTAGGTGGGGATGCAGGAAGGTGCTCTGTGGAGATTCCTGTCAGATGACAAAAACCATTAGGAGGAACCTGCCATAGGTCCAAGGGATGTGGAGATGGCTAGTCAAGGTCAGACATGCTACCTTGTGCTGTTTGACGGGGGCCCAGCTGCAGAAAGCCCGTTCCATGGACAAGGTTGACCTACACTTTTGGACAACTCAACCAGACATTTCAGGTGGGCTGTGTGAATGCTCGGCTCACAGGGTGTTATAAAAATGAAGAGGGCTCCCCACGATGGCAATGTCCAGCTCTTCCTTCATGAGGGCTGGAAGCCCTTTATCTACAGTAGTGTTGGTGAAGTTCCATTTTGGAAGTTGGGGATAAAGTGAAGGTACATTCCACTTGAGCATCACCCTCACACTCAGAGTGGACTAGCATGGAACAGTGAAATGATTCTGCCTTCCAGAACCCATGTAGTTGGCACAGCCTAGGTGAGCGGACACTACTGACATCCAGGGGGTAAACAGAGCTGTGGTGTAAGGACATCTCCACCATAGAGGATGATCCTACACAAATGTCAGTGGTGCTGAGGCTGAGAAACCTAGGTCTGGCAAATCCTTAGACCCCCTCCTTGCCCTCCCTCAGGAAACCATGATGGACCATGCCTTGCGTACCATTTCTTACATCGCTGACATTGGGAACATCGTGGTGTTGATGGCGCGGCGCCGCATGCCTCGCTCAGCATCACAGGACTGCATCGAGACCACCCCCGGGGCCCAGGAGGGGAAGAAGCAGTACAAGATGATCTGCCATGTGTTTGAATCAGAAGATGTAAGTACACATTGGATGGTGGTGGGAATTCTCTGGAATACTCTTCATTTACAGAGAATGGTGCGTGCAGTTTTCATGCTCACATGTTCTGCAGGGTGTTTATAAACTGAGTTTGATTAACTGTGTCCTTCCAGTTGATGGGGTTCTTTTACAGAAAACCTATCTCCTCCTAAAAGAAAATAATCCTCATGTAGCTTTTCAGCTGTTAGGACACATATATTTTCACATCCTGGGTACCTCGGCAGGCACCTTGTACCAGAGAAGGTCTTAGTTCTCTTTTCACACGGGATGTTTCACTTAATGACAAAGCAACCAGCAAATCTGAAGTTTCAGATACTTGCTAAGAGGTTGGAACATGTGGTTCCGCCCTTGAGTGGGATGAAAGCATCTTCATGGGCCTGTGACAGGAAGAGGCTGAGGGCAGGGACTGAGGAGGGGAGTTGTGGAGGGCAAGCTGCCTCAAGCTCTCTCAGAAGCACCCTATAAGCAGCTCTTTTCAGATGACTACAGGAAAGAAGTTATTATGCCTTTCTCATTGCTGTTTCCAGAAGAGAATTTGTAAAATGTATTCCCCATGGATATCTAGCAAGGGCATTCTTGTTTAGGTAAGAATTTGAAGACAACCCAGAAACTTGGCTGGAAAAGGTCTCTCTTTTTCCATGACTGTGAACTAAGGCTTAGAGACCTATTCTCTCTAACACGAAGCTTGACAGGATGTCATCGGGGATGTCATCTCCTAACAAGCTGAACTCAACTCGAAGTGCTTTGAAGCAGTGGCATTAAGTGGGAGGAGATCTAACTGTAGAAGCATGGATGGGTGCGTGTTCTTTCTACCATTTCACAGCTCCTCATGGCATCTTGGGAGGCCTGAGTGTAGCTGAGGGGACACATCTATCCACAGTGTAGTGTACCTGAATCTTTGGGCATGCTCCAGTCCCTGGGACAATCCCCGGCAGTCTTATCTTTGGCATTTGCATTCCTACAGTTCTCAGAGGTGCCTTTAACCAAAACCTGTGGCCTCTGAGAAGTTCCCCAGCCAGTACTGGGGTGCAAAGTGGTAGTTACATGTGAAATTTTGGAGTAACAGGAACTCCTAGGAGAGGTACTGGGGAAAGCCTCAAGAGAAGCAGGTAGGCAGGCTTATCTGAGCCAGCAGAGCTTCTTGCACATGACAACTGATTGAGCAGTAGAAATGCTGTAACCCTGTGTCCAGGTACTAACCTTCATTTCTTTAGATCCATCTTCAGTGTGGTCACATAAACAACTAAGTATGTGTGAGACCCTAAACAAGCAAACCAGTGGCCCCAACCCTGTGTCTCTTCCAGTGCTCCCTGGTGCCTGCTTTCCAAAGGCCATACCTCCAGAATGAAGACTGGGCACAAGAGCCCTGTGGGAGAATTTTTCCCAACGTATTAAGAGGGAGAACAAGGACAACCCTATACTCAAGGTCTTGTGTTGGCTCTGGGGTTCTGTTTGTATGCACATGACCAGTGATCATTGAATCCTTCCTTCCTAGGGCAGAGCGCTGAATATTATGATTTCATGAGAGCTATGCCCCAGTAGTATAAACAGAGACATGGAGGCCTCACAATGCTGTTGTTCCCTGACCATAGCACACACGAGGGCGCTGCTGAGGTCAAATCAGTCCACAGAGTACTAGGATCTATGTGCTGCATGAATCAGACTTCTCTTTTGTCAAACTGTGTGGAAATGGTAGCTGTTTATGGGGACCTAGGCACTCCTCCTGCTCCTTTGCATCCTTATAGCGACTCTTGACTGGAGATGGCTTAGAGGGCTTCCATATTCAGGGCAACAGGAGGCAGGAGGGCAAATGCTAAAGGCCAGCCAGCGAGCACACTGCCTCTCCAGCTAGTAATGGCTTCTGCCACTCCCAGAGAAATACTTACTAGGTAGGCCGTCCTGAAGAACAAGACTCAAAGCCCATTTTTGGACTAAGATCAGTGACCAAAAAATACTGCTACCAGTGACATTTCTCATTCCCAAGAAAGATCATCCAATAGGATGTGGAAATTATTGAATAATATCATTAATATCCCATACAAAGAAAATATTGATGAAGATCATTCAAAAGCAGCTGAAATAGCACATAGATAGGGAACTGCCAGAAGTTCAACCAGGATTTAGAAGAGGCCATGGCACCTGATGGCTAACAGTAAGGAATACCAGAAGAATGTCTGTTTGTGCTTTATTGACTATGCAAAGGCATTTGACTGTGTGGATCATACCAAGTTGTGGATGACATTGAGAAGAATGGGAATCTCAGAACATTTAATTGTGCTCGTGTGAAACCTATACCTAGACCAGGAGGTTGTCATGTGAACAGAGCAAGGGAACACTGGGGATGGGTAAAGGAAATGGCAAACATCTAGCATGGAAAACATTATATAAAAATTTTGTAAGTAAACCAGTATAAAATAATAATTTAATTAAAAAATAAAAATACCCAAAAAAACCCCTTGAGAGTATGTCAGGGTTGTGTTCACTCCCCATACCTATTAAATCTGTATGCTGAGTAAATTATTCAAGAAGCTGAATCTATGAAGAGGAATGTGGCTTTAGTATCAGAGGGAGACTTACCAATAGCCTGAGTTATGCAGATGACAAAATCTTGCCTGCTGAAAAGTGAGGAGGACTTGAAGCACTTGTTACAGAAGAAGGAATGCAGCCTTCAGTATGGGTTGCATCTCATGGTCAAAAAACCAAAGATTCTTACCTCTGGACTGATAGGCAATCATAATGGATGGAGAAGAGATTAAAACTATCAACAACTTCATCTTAATTGAATCTACAATGAACATCCTTGGTCCCAGCAGTCAGGAAATTAGGAGACATGTTGCACTGGTAAAATTCCAAATTATTGAGGAGTAATGATGTCAGTTTGAGGACTAAGTTGTCTGATTCAGGCCATGATCTTTCTGATCACTTGCTATGCATCTGAGAGCTGAACAATGAACAGGGATGACAGAAGAAGAATTGATGCCTTTGAGCTGTGCCATTAGAGAAGAGTAATGAATATCCTATAGATGGCCAAATGAACAAATATATCTTGGGGAACATGTAGCTGGAGTATTCTTTGGAGGCAAAGATGATGAGGCTTTGTCTCACATACTTTGGGAGTGTTGGTAGGAGGGGCTATTCCTTGGAGAGAGACATGATGCTCAGAAAGGTAGAAGGTTGGCAAAGGAGAGGAAGACCCTTGACCAGGTGAATTCACACAGTGACTGCCTTCATGAGCTCGAATGTGCCTAGAAGTGTGAGGATGGTACAGATTAGGACAGTGTTCAGACCTGTTGTTCATAGGTTTGCTATGGGTTGTATTCGACAGTACCTAACTACAACAACAACAACTAGTGACAGTTACAAAAAAGGATATTTAGCAAATTGTTATTTTCCCAGACCAGATTGGTTTTATCCTGGACTTTGGGAACAGCTCAGCTCAGACGGGGACAATTGGGACCAGACACTGCTAGCTAGTAGCAGCAGGAAGCCCACCACAGTGCCCTGGCAGAGAGGCATGTTGTGGAAGCTGGCTTTCTTGACCTGGCCTGTGCTTTTTTTCTTGGGCTTCTTGGAGTGACAGGTGCAGCCTTTGCACCCACCCTTTGTAGTCCCTCCTTCTCTGGTGGTCAAGTGGAGCCAGTGTATCCATGCTGTTTCCAGGAGCCTGTCTTTCCTTGCAGGCCCAGCTCATTGCCCAGTCCATCGGCCAGGCATTCAGTGTGGCCTACCAGGAGTTCCTGCGGGCCAACGGCATCAACCCTGAAGACCTGAGCCAGAAGGAGTACAGCGACATCATTAACACCCAGGAGATGTACAACGATGACCTCATCCACTTCTCAAACTCAGACAACTGCAAGGAGGTGAGCTGTGCCCCCTACCCCCTACCCCCCAAAAGACTCAACGTTTTGTCCAGCCTGCTTCAGCCTGGAGAGGTCAGATTGCTGACTGGGAGTGGTAGGCATCTCCTGTCTAGCCACCAGAGGGCAGCATCTGCAGACCTGTCTAGGTCCTTGGCATCAGTTTAGACCAGAGTGTCAGAACCAATGAGGATGACACGGGATAGGACAGGGTTTGTATCTCTTGTTCATGGGGCCACTATGAGTTGTACCCTACTCAGAGGCACCTAACAACCACCAACTCACTGTCCCCATCACAGCAGTGCACAGGGTGACAGTTGGTGACACTATAACAAAGGAGTTGATGGAAACTCAGTTTATGACCTTGAAGATAGGCCCCTTCATGTGGCTGTTGTTATAATGAGAAATCGCAGGACAGCTGTGATCTTTAAGAAGGCTTATTTCAGACTCAAGGTGTGGATGCTATGTTTGGAAGCTGCCAGTAGAGGGCACCCGAGCAAGTTGCTGAAGCTCCAGAGCCTTCTCAGATCTTTGCAAAGTTCTGCTTCCCAGAGCAATGCCTGGAGGGACGGCCTCCATGTCCCAACTGCCGGTGCAGTGAGAAGCCTGACTGCGTGGTGGAACGAGTGGAAAATGACTCTGAGGAATGAGCAAGTGAATGAATAAATGATCTCGTGAATGAACGAATGAATGACCCTATTGTTATGTGCTATTGAGTTGCTTATGACTCATAGTGACCCTATGCACAATAGCTCTGAGCCCTGACTGACCGTAGCCACAGTGAAATGAGCTTTCAGCCACCTTTGTAGGCAGAGATAGGTGAAAGCCAGCAATGAAGGATGGTGGCTAGGAATGAACGAGGATGGGCACGGTTGGGCAGCACCCAGAAGTGGTGTGGTCAGGGGCACAGGAGGAACTGCTTTGGGCTGTAGAGCATGGGGCAAGGTCAGAGGATTTGGAAGTGAGGACAGGATGGGACCAGAGGTGGGCCTGCACTTTTTTCCCCCGGGCCCCTGTGTTTTGTCCTTTGCACTCTGGGACCAAGGCCCTCCTGACCCTGACCCCTAGGGCAGAGCAAGGATGTCCTCTCATTTACTGCCCCCTTGCAGCTGCTGCTAGAGAAGCACAAAGGTGAGATCCTAGGAGTAGTGGTCGTGGAGTCAGGCTGGGGCTCCATCTTACCCACGGTGATCCTGGCCAACATGATGAACGGTGGCCCAGCTGCCCGCTCAGGGAAGCTCAGCATCGGGGACCAGATCATGTCCATCAATGGTACCAGCCTGGTGGGGCTGCCCCTTGCCACCTGCCAGGGCATCATCAAGGTGAGTGCCAGGGATCCAGACAGACCTGGGAGTGAGGGTAGAGAGCCTGGCTTCATCTCTTGCTGAACCAGGGTGACCGAGGAGAGGGCCCAGCCACCACAGGTGTCAAGTGACTGTCTGTCCTGGATGCAGAATGACTGACAGGGTCCTTACCTCAGGGCTCCTTGGCCCCATGTGAGTTCTTAAGGGAACAGCTGAGCCTGTCTCTTGGAGCCACCCAGCACATCAGAGAACCTTATAGCGGGTAGGAGGGGCTGCACCCAGACCTCCCCCTCCTGGGTGACACTCACTGCCCGTGTGCCCTTGGGGCCACTGCCATCTTCAGGCAGCTCCACCTGGCATCTGACCTTGTGTCTGGCTGGAGGGGCACAGCTGAACTACAGGTGTGCAAGGTCAGCCCCTGCCACTCCATGTCTGATGTAGACCCCAGAAGTTCATCCTCACTATCGGCTGACAGTTGCATCCTTTCTGGGACCTGAGGCTGTCTCTAGGCTGCCAAAATTCCCCAGGGTCCCTGAACTGCACCCAGTTTTCACTGATGACTTCTCTCCTGGACCTAACCCCTCAGGTGTCCCTGATTGCTGCCAAGTCAAGTCCCCCCTCTTTGAGAGTTATGACTGGGCCTGTGAGGTGACATCACCCCTGTAGCTTTGGAAGCAAGCACAGGGAGGGGTCACATCCCTTCCTCTTTGATGCATAGCAACCTAGGGTGGGAGGCAAAGGCAGAGGGGACATTGAGGCTTAGAGTGGTGCTGCCTCACCCACTCTCAGTCTGGTGGCTGGACACGGAAGAGGTTAGCTGGGTGGCCCCACTACTGGCCTCATCTTCGGCAAGTGCCAGACAAGGTTGCAGCTAGGCACCTGGCTCCCCCCAGAGCTGAGCGCTCTTGCAGGGCCTGAAGAACCAGACTCAGGTGAAGCTCAACATCGTCAGCTGCCCACCAGTCACCACCGTCCTGATCAAGAGGCCGGATCTCAAGTACCAGTTGGGCTTCAGCGTACAGAACGGAATAGTAAGTCTCTCCTGTCTTCTCACCCCAGCTCAGCTACTTCCACCACCTGAGGCCTGGGGACAGGAAGCTGTATGTGCAGCCCCTGCCTGCAGGGGCAGCACCTGGCTAGGACAAAGGCTTCCAGTGGCTCCATGGCTGACCTGGGCACTGACCAGGCAGAGAGAGCCCTGGGTGTGGCCTCCTGTTCTGCCCAGGGTGCCTTGGCCCCTGCCACAGGTAATCTTAGCAAGTGGAGCTGGAGGACTGCCACTGTAGGTTGGCCCATTAGCTGATAGCAGTGCCAGTCTTGTGTCCACAACAGGCAAATCCCCAGGCCTTTGATTATTCATTTACCTCTTTATTCACTTACCATCCTTGTTCAATGTAAAGTGCCTGCCCTTTGCTCTCTGGAGCCAGGCACTGAGCAAATGGGAGGCCTTCATGAAGACTGAGAGTGGCCACAAGTCTGTGACAGGTCCCCTGACATGGTCCCCACCAATGTTTTGACTGGGTTTGCAGGAGTTGCCTTGGTCTCTCTCCCTGCAGATGCCCCAGGGGAGGGGACATGACCACAGATGGCAGGCAGAAGGGAAAAGCCAGTGCTGAAATTTTAAATTTTAAAAAGCCAGTGCTGTATATGAAACAGCTGAGGAAGAATGTGATTCTGTGGGATTAGGGGAGTAGAGGCCTCTTGGCAGAGTTGGGGTAAGTGGCCGGCAGCTGTAGTTGAGGGTAGACAGGCTGCTCAATAGGTTTAAAGTGTGCTAGACTTGGGAAAGCAGAGATAAGATTTTGTGGGGTCTCAAGTTGGGGAAACGAGAATTCAGTGACCAAATTGCCAGATCTCTGCCTGGCTGTGGATGCCAAGGGAGTGTCAGCAGCTTTCTGGCTATTTTATCACTAGAACAGGTTCCAAGTCCTGGGTGATGTCAGAGTCAGCAGGGGGTTGTCTGTGAGGTCACAGCCGTGGACAAGGAGCAGCTCAGCCAGAAAGGAAGCTATAGACCTAACTAGCGACTGTCATCTGGTCTCAGCTTTTTCATCGATGAAATTATGGATTTCACTTATGGATCGATCCAGAGCTTATGTGCAGGGCTTCATGGTGAGGACTGTAAGGTGCCACGTGGGGGCTTCGAGGGGCTTTCTTCTGGGATCTGCAAAGCCCATCCGACAATCCCTGGAAGGGTTTGCAGGTGAAGTCCTTGAGCCTGAGGGTCCTGCCTTGTGAGATGTGTCTCTTAAGGGCCTTGAAGATGGAGAACAGAGGCTGCACACCTAGCCCTGTAACAGTAGCTTGCAGTCATCAAAAGAGACTGGACCTCCTGTCTCCTCCCTGGGATACCAAGGTGTGCAGGACAGCGAGGAGGACTTGGGAGCAAGGACTGAGGGTGACTGTCCTGGACAAGGCCAGGCATCCCAGCCTGGGCTAGGGAAGGGTTTTCTTTTGAGAGTGTCTGGATTTGAGGTGACTCTGACAAGGGAGAAGGGAGAGTCTGTCTGCAGCTGCTGCCCCAGGTTTAGGAGTATTATCAAAGAAGAACCTTTCCAAGTGAGACTGGTGCTCATTGGCCAGGAACTTCCTGTCTTAACAATCACTACCACCACATTGTAAGTGCTTATGACAGGCTAGGAATTATTTTTAAATTATTTTTTTAGTATAAAAATATTATTCTTAATGGTTTTGGGGGGGTTGTGTTTTTTTCTGGTTTTGTTTGTTTTTGGTTTTTGGTTGTTTTTGTTTTTTTTCAATTCCAGTAGTACTTCAGTACTGACAATGACATCTTTTACTCTCTTCCTACAACTTCTGCCAGAGGCCATATTCCCAAACCCCAAAAGAATCTTCTTCTTCTCCTCCTCCTCCTCCTCCTCCTCCTCCT